TGGGGCAAAACTCTAAGGCAGCCCCTGAACATCTACGCCTCATCCAGCCTCGTGGAGATTGCTTTCCAACCCACTGTGTTCCTGGTGTGTTTGTCCCCTAACAGTTTATGAAATGTTCACTCTAATCACAAGAAGGTTGGCAGGGGACCAAGCCCTGTGACCAACTCCGGAAATCCAAACACCACATGTTCTTACACCTCCACCTGATAGTCCACGGGAATATGCCCCATGCCAGAGCACTTCTTGTGATCTACACTTAATTAGCACACATCTAATACATGTAATATACCAACAGGCTGTTAAAATACCACCGTTGCTTCAAACTGACACATCAAATTTGATGGGTGGGAAAAAGCGTGACTTCATGAAATTCTTGAGGTAAATCAGAACGCATTCCTGAAATTTACGCAACAAAGATGAGTAATCTTCCCTTGGAGACAACTTCTTGTGTATCCTTCTCTTTAACATGTATCAAGCCATAACTATGACTCACATGTTCAACGTTTCACAGATCAAACAATTAGATATGGGACATATTCACCTGGGAGATGCTATGCATTCCAACACTTTTCCATTACAGTAATGCTGGCATTCAAATTAGAGCAAATATGGTACGCCTGTTAACACATGTGGATGTGAACTCGCATAAATACCCTCCCCATTAGCCTACAACAATAAATATTACAGGAAACAGTCTTGATGATGTTGATTGCCTTCAAGAATTCAATCAAGCATTAAGAAGTACTAAAGCAATCTTGCTAATGTCCAAAGTATGGTTACAGAACCATGCATGCATCAAAGATTACAAATGTACAAAATCCCCTTGATACCGCATATAGTTACCCTTCTATAGCCAGGTAATTAGGTGTTATTTTCAGAAACACATGTACCTCATTAGACAAGGTCAAATAACTTTTATCGTGTTTATAAGCTATCATGTTTTAATCCAATTAAATTGATTCGCTTGCAGACTACAAAACATGTTTATTAACCCTTTGGCCTTGACCTGTGACATATGCTTGTACTTATCATAAGTGCTTGTGTCTATTTTGTAATTCTCAAGGGCTGCTCTTTCTCCCCATCGGGTTTAACTTGAAAGCTTCTTTCAAATAAGTCTCGTCTCTTCAACGAAAGTATGGCAGGATTGACATGGAAGCAGTTTTGAAGTTTGATTGATAACGTCTGGTTAGAATCGTGTTTGGCCCTGAGAAAATACAAATTGCTTGTAAGATAATGTGCAAAGTACACTTACAGACTCTTCAGAACAAATATAGGCTTAAGAGGCATGTCCAAAATTGAACACAGAATCATCAGCAGAAAAGAAGAATTTTGTTTTTGCAAACGTTGCAGACTAACCATTTGCTTACAAGCATATTTTTCAATACACAAACGGCCAAACTGTAGTCCATCAAATATACTAGAAGTTTAAGTACACCTAAATCTTTCTTAGTACTATAATTAATCAGTCATGGTGTGGTAGTATATAGTCAGTTACTTTGGACTGTAAGTGTTCATTCTTATCATTTAAACTACTTTGGCTCTTAAGACATTTTGCAAGAATCTCAATTATGAACTTGCTAGAAATATTCAAAGACGCAACTTATAATATGGTACAGAAGACTAGACAAGCTAAGCTCCTGATGAGTTGGATACATTTCATCTAATTGAAATGCGGACTGTGAGGTCATTTACATGGACAAACAATTCACAAAGATTACATGGTCACCTGCCCTCCTGAAACCTTTCTTAAAGCATTATATGTGTATTACCTCTTCAAGATTTGGTTTAAAAAAAACATATATCCCTTGCCATTAAAATGATGTTGATGATGATGATGATGATGAAGATGAAGACATTTTTTTATTCAATGACAGTCAACTTTTGACATGTTTCATGTCTCATACACAATATTCAAAGCCTGGGTTTATTGGCAGTCCCAGCACATTTGGTTGAAGTCATTCAAAACACTTTTTGGACTGCTAAACTCAAATTTTACAATAGATACTAATTACAATCTACCTTAATTACACATAGACATGTCTCTGTTAACACATGACACTAATTACATCTTGTCATACTGGGTTTACGACAGTGGACCATAGCTCTCCTTTGACTGTAGGCTTCATAGGCCTTGTTTCAGAGGAGATCTTTATGTTCAGAGAGTTTTACAACTGACAGTTATATACATGCCATGACAGTCCATTAGATCCAACTCAAAATTGAAAACTAAGAATCAAAAGGAAAAGAAGATTGAGTTAGTGATAGTATTTGGTCTAACTGCAAAGTATTTCAGCTACATCACAGCATGTACATCTGCTTGATGTGGAAGAAAAGCCCAAAGTGAAGCAGGAATAGACATTTACCACTTTGGTGAAACCAACAAGCAAGGTTGGTGCCTACAAACCACAAAATATAATGAGGGCAAATCTGCGTATTGAACCCACAATCATATATCTGTTACGCATAAGGGTTATAACTCTACACTAGGAAAAAATGAAGAATTCTACAGTGTATAATAGCCAGATTCAGAAATCCCTTCAAACACTAAGCATCAATGTTTGTGCTAGGACTGGGTGAATACCGTGTTAAGACAGAGTGAATACCTGCATCTGGGGAAGCTACATCTGCACATCAACTCAGTTTGCTGAAGCAACATCTCATCAAATAACACCACCTGCAAGCCCCGTCATCACACACCATCACCATGCACTCTACTTTCAGTCTCCAGGCTCATACATGCTCAACATCTGGGACTGTTTTCTTTTCATTTTTCACAAACTCTTCCCTCAAGTTACACAATATTTTCCTCCTGAAATGCTTGTCGAGGTTGCTTTGTAACCCTTCCGATAAAAGTGATAAATATAGACAGAAGGCCCTTGTAGAAACCTGCTAAAGAGAAGAGAAGAGAGCAGCTTTACTTGGAAGAAATCCTAATACAACGTTTGATGTTTCCAAGATTCAAATGAGGACATGGGAAAGACCATGTACACTTAACTAAATATATATATCTTCGTTTAACAAAACAAACACAAAGATGGAAAAAAACTTGTTATACTACTAGCTCAGAATTCCAGTTAAAAAATATTATAAAATGTTACCAATTCATGTTGTCAAGATTAACATGGTTAAGGGAATAATTTCAGAAGCCCATCTAGAGTTGCTTGTGGACGTTTTCAAAAAAAGTAATTAATTGTAATGTCTTCAATTTTGAAAACTATTTCACTCATGAGTTGACAAATTCTGTAAGATAGCATGAATATTTGAAAAAAGAAAGAACACATATTTGACCAACCATAAATGGATAAACTATTAGAAAATAAATACTTCGTAGTTAATTCCATATAGGTTTTTCCATGTCGCTGTGGCAGAAGACTACATTTGTTAGCCTTCGGTTTGGACTTCACAATGTTCACAGATTTGAATTTCACTGGTGACACACATTTTTTTCATGACATTGTTCTATCATCAACATGATCAAGGGAAAAGATAGGGAAGAAAATAAGTTCCATCACTGCCATTGGTCTTTAACTGACAACTCTGTTAGTTAATGCCTAGTCACAAACAAAGGAGCCATGCATTAAGCAGTGTAAGGGGACTTGTCAAAAATTCAATGCTGGTATGGTAAATATAAGTTTGTTTGTTGTTTAACTGTTGTTGCACTCAGCAATATTCCAGCTATATGACGGCGGTCTGTAAATAATCGAGTCTGGACAAGACAATCCAGTGATTGACATCATCAGCATTAATCCGGATACGATGACATGCATCAACCAACTCAGCGTCCCTGACCACCCGATCCTGTTAGTCACCTCTTACAACAAGCATAGTCGCCTTTTACGGCAGGCATGGGTTGCTGAAGACCTATTCTAGCCCGGATCTTCACGGGTCGGTATGGTAAAGAGACATAGTGGGATTTCAGGGAAGAATATACGTCCGCAGCAACCTATTCTTGTTGTAGAGGCAACTGAGTGGATCAGGTGGTCAGTCTCTGCAACTAGATGCATTACATTGTATCCCAGTATTGTGAGGCTCAAAGCTCATGATATCAATCACTGGATTGTCTGTATTATTTACAGACCATTGCTGAATATTGCTGAGAGTGACATCAAAACAAAATAAACAAACAAATAAATAAACTACTTTTTACTCATAGAAGACCTGAAGAAACATTGAAACCATGGAAACAAAACAAGTATTTCAACATATTGAATGTAGTGAAAGCGATTTTTGTATGCCATCATCGCTTTGTGAAGTATTTTACCAATAATCTGTCTCATCTAGTTTGTCCTTGCTTTGCATCACTGTCCACACATCATGCACATTTTGATAATCACCAGCCTCTACTATCCAGGGCAATGTGTCTCTATTCTATTGCCTGATTACAGCTTTAGAAATTGCCACCCGTCCTATAGTCCTTACCAAACTGCCCAATAGTTGAGGTATTATAAAGACTAGTAGAAATTTGCCATTTTTAAGGGTTTTGCTATATGTTATAATTATAAGGACTATAGTGGACTAAAAATGTTAGTTTCTCTTGCTGTATTATGATACATACCTTGACCCATTTGCTACCAGTGCTTTTGAGTTTGGTTAGAATTACACAATGCTACATTTTTATATATACATCAAATCAAATCACTGTTCCCTTACCAGTATGTACATTGACTTGACTTTTCATGCCGTCTCAAAAAAAAAACAGTGCCCAATTCCACAAAACAATCTTAGCGCAAAGGAATCATAACTCCCATACTTTAACATAAGGCTTATGATCATCATAGCGCTAAGATTGCTTTGATTAAAAATATTGAGGGCTCGCTCGGATGAGCACACAGTTTTGAATGTACATCTAAGCCAAACTGATGTACAGACGAGGCATTTTGGTGACGTCACTTCTAAAACAAAGCTATGAATGGATCACAGGAATATACTACAGGCACGTACTATAGAATGGAGGAGAAACACTGGATAAATACTGAAGGAGAAGAAGATGTGTGTCTCACCTGTATGTCTTGCAGAGCACCAGTCTAGAGTACACACTCTGAAAATCCTTCTCCACCTCTCTTGTAGCTGTCTGCAACAGTAATAATAATGAAATCATGATAATAAATAATAATTTATCAATCTCATTAAAATCAGATCTTAGTTCTGGCTATCGCTAAACAAAGATCTGATGACATCCCATTATGGGTCACATCAGAGCAACCTTTCATCCAACCAATCAGAGCATCACTTACCAGATCATGAAAGTGACAGTCGGAATGTGTTTTCTAATCATGCAACCATGATATATTTGACACGGGGTATTCCGAACGACAGTTGCGGGTTTTATGATTATATCCATACAATCTAGGCCATCTATAAGCCATTCCAGAATGTTCTTCTTATCAGTTTTAAAATTTTAATCGAGAATACGTCAAAATATGTTTCGAAGCGTAGTCGCCAGTTTGAAACTAGTGTCGTAAAACCGAGAAAGCTAGTTTCTGATTGGCCAATGTCGATTACTTGTCAGTCATTTCATTGGTCTGGTCGGTCAAAATTCGCGAAAGGTCGTTCTGACGCGACCAGTAATGGGATGTCCTCAGATTTTTGCTTAGCGGTAGCGAAATCTTAGATCTGATTTTAATGAGATTGAATTTATATATCCTAATACTCGCTCATTGCCTTCATAAATAGATCAGTGTGCATTCTAATTGCTTTCTAAACTCACTGGGGATCATACAAGCTGCCAGCTAGAAGGCACAGTATTCACATAACCCTCTCATCTGAGCATGCTGAGAGGGTAGTTATTTGTGCTGGGTGAACAAAGTCACTTGCCTAAGAAAAGCATCACACATTTCTGTCTGTGACTATTATTCTAAGTTTCAAAGACTTGTTGGAAGAGGATATAGGTGAGCCATGGGTCAAAGATGCCACTGTGCAGCAGTCCACCAGATAATAGTTTGAGTCATTGAGTACTTACGCATATGTAAGCATGCTCATTGTGTATTTTTCTTTGGGTATTCAACTTCCAGTTTGTATCTTAAACCAATACCAGGTAAGCAGTATGTGCCAAAACCTTTTGAGCCTACTACCCCAAACTTGGCTTATAAGCATCATTTTCTGTAGATATGGATGTTATTATTAGACTTACTAGTTAAGCATACTAGACTGAACAGAATTTTACTAGATTCGGGCATCGGACTAGTGGCTGAAGTCACAAACTGGGTTAAGTTGGCATATTGCAAAAGTAATTCTGTTTTAAATGTTATCATAATATATTTTTTTGCACCATTTGTAGTGACTATAGTCGTTCCGTAAGAAGAAAGGCAAGTGACCAACACTTTAACTCACAACAGAGATATATGTCGAAAGTAAGAGGTAGCACTTTTCTGTTATACACTGCAGAGGAGTATGTTTTGTCTACATTTGATCAGCTAAAAAGATCTGTGAGGAAATACTGCAAGATGAAAAGTCTACAATAAGTTATTACATTCATTGTTGTGATATTGTAATTGTTGTGTTTTCAAATAAGTTTTGTCTGTAGCTGTAAGCAAGCAGCTCGGATTTGTTTGGGTAATGTCTGATGGTGATTATTTTTGCAAATGTTGTTTAAAACTTCTCTCTGCAATATTCCAGCTAAGTAATGGAGATTCTGACTGGTCAATCAGAGGTTACAAATCACAATAACCACATCTGACTGAAACAGCTGGTTTGACAGCATCACATCATGTGGAAAATCAAACCTGGGATTTCAGAGTACAGAGCAAACATTTTCATCACAAGACTACCCAACTGCCCCTACAGTCATAGGAACTCATCGGACATCCCTAACAGTGAGGTTCAAACTGCTTCAACGGGTACCCCTTTAAGGAACAATAGCTACCAAAGCACTAGGAAAACACAAACCATTGGTTATGTTCATTGCTGCTTTTCTAAGCTGTGATTTATGACAAGTTTAATAGCTTCAGGGACATCCTACCCTTATTTATACTACGAGTATATAAGAATGCTTTCAGAACCAAAACATTCGTGTTCGGTTACCTGTCAAATGTTTCAGTTGACCTTGGGTGTCAACGACACCTGTCTTAACGACCACACCCGTCTCATCAAGACATAGGGCAGGTGTAACACCTGAGCCTCCCTCCCCTCCCTCAATGGACAAAGACATAACACCCTACCACTTACCCACTGCTGTAACCATTTGATACCAACAAATGAAACAAGGAGGCCGATTTTAGCCCAACCAAACAGCCTGACTGGGAGCCATTTAAATAGCTTCTTCAAACTTAATTGAAACTGAACCAACTGGGTCCTGACCCTTCCATTGAAACACTAACACGATCATCTTACAAATAATCCCTAGAGATTATCATCAAGTAACACAACAGCAACTCCATAACACAACACGGTGAGCCTATAACACATCACAGCGACAACAGTGAGTCGGGAATGCTTTTCGGGACAAGCACATTTAAATCCCTTGTTATGGAGAATCTATTTTCTCTCCATGTAAATTGATTGCCCCATCCGAGCCTAATCCAATGCAAATTGCTCTGCTCAAGTAGACGAAACAACAATGGGTATATCATGCGCTCCTTGACATGTACACTCCAACATGGCTCTGTATTTGGCTTGTACTTAGTGTCAGAATAGCCAACAATGCATAGTGGTAGTGACATTTGATTCGTTCTTACACTTCACATGATGCAAGGAGGCCCCAAAAGGCACTTTATTCTTAATCAGTGTTGCTTCAAAACACATGGCATCATGCAAACAGATGCTTATCTTTAGATTTCAGACACTGTTTAGAATTTCAATGCCAATAAAAAGCTCGGGCTGGATTTTCAATTACAGAATCTAATTTAACCCTTCATTCATGAAGCAATTAGCTGCATTTAATTAGGTGTTAACAGGTGGATGAAACCTGTGAAGGGATAATTACTTTTGTCAAGTGTATCTCAAACATTACAGATTCAGTAGCACTGCAGATACCCTCTTTGAGAGACTGATTTGGGTAACCTGGTTAAAAACTTAGTTTGATAGTCTTTAATCACATGAAGGAGGGAAAGTGATCTGATTCATTAACAGATGCCTCTCTATCTCCTAAACTTGATCCTGTACAACATTGGAACTTATATCCCTGAACGTTTCAAATTATTAAGTTTTTCAGGTTGCTTATAAATTGTATTTCAATAAAAATGCCAATCTATATTCCCACATTTTTGTAAGCCAATTAGATGGACAAATTCTACTGTATGATGAGTAACAGGTTTGCCTCCATTATAATAATTAATACATTGATGTAATGATATGCTTAATAACTGCATAATCTTTAGGACCAAGTATAAATCTGTAATTAACCAATAAAAATGTTTGTATGCTTCAAGTGCTAAGAATATTTCAAACTTGGCTCTGTCTCTACGTAGTTCAGTGCACAGAGAGAGGGGATCAGGGGGATAATTACAGTGGAACCTTGTTTATCCACACATCTCCATTATTCCAAAAGTTGTCTGTATACCTGCATATCCACATATCTCAAACTAATTTGAGCAGCCTCCCATACATACATACCCCTAAACCACCAGAAAGATCATGTGATATTATTTCTAAATATTGTAATTGTGGTAATAATTTAGTTGTTTCAGCATGTTTATATAAGAAAACTCTGCAATGTATAAATCTTTGTTGGATAAATGTTATGAGATCATTACACTGGAACAACATACATTCCTCTGTGTGTAATGAACAACAGATACTCAACACACATCAGTTCATCTAATAAAATACAATAAATACATATATTTTTCTGTGGGCAAGACATTGGTTGCTCTTTAAAACTTTATTACTTTCAAATCAGAGCTTTTAATTTTTTATTGTCATAGATTCTTCGTGGTACATGGCCATCTTATAAAATGACTCCATATAAATTGAATCTTATGGAAAGTATGACAAGTTTTTCACACACGTGAGTTAGTGAGTGAGTGATTTGGGTTCGATGCTGTTTTAACAGTAACACTAGCACAGTCAAATAAGGCTGTGTCAGCATAATGATACACTTTATATTCACCTGATCCTCATTAATTGACTCTTAGGAAATTATGTACTTGGGGTGTAATCTACCCGCAAAATCCGAGCAGATTGATGCAAACATCTCTTAGGTATCCAATGGTTGATTTGAAGCATTACCCTAGGTCATACAAGTTATACTATGCATTCATCATTATAACAGCTCAGTCTTGTTCCCTTACTCAAGTACAAACATCATGTTTAAAGGAAACCAGCAAAGGTTGGAACATATTACTCTTATCACGGAAAAGAAAAAACACCAACCATTCATGAAAATACTCTCCTCTTGAAGAACAACATAAATGACCCATGGTATTACACCAACAACATAAAATACCCTTCATCTAGTGCTTATCAAAGAAAGGGCAGATCTGTAACAAATGTCCAAATGTTAAAGAATCTGTAGCTTCGCTTCCTTGCACAACATCCGCCACTAATGTGAAAGATGTAACACCACGACAGAAATAGAGTTTTTATGAATGTAGACGAGGTAGTGATAGGAGGGGAGGAGAGCCTTGTAACACAGGTGGAGGTGCTACTAATGTAGCTCCTGCTGTCTAATCTACATTGCCTTCCTTATCAGATAAACGGCCATGATTTATCAAGACAGTTTTTACTGAAATGACAACTTGTTCCTCCACTGGGTTACCACAGCGGGGCCCACCTGCTAGTGAAAGATGGTCCAACTCAAGTGGGCTCTCCTGCCCTGTTGGTCTGGTTTAGTTGTCTTCTACTTCCACATTGGTAAGGGTTAGTATGTGCTTCTTCCACATTGGTCAGGTTTAGTATGTGCTTCTTCCTCATTGGTCAGGTTTAGTATGTGCTTCTTCCTCATTGGTCAGGTTAAGTATGTGCTTCTTCCTCATTGGTCAGGTTTAGTATGTGCTTCTTCCACATTGGACAAGTTTAGTATGTGCTTCTTCCACATTGGTCAGGTTTAGTATGTGCTTCTTCCTCATTGGTCAGGTTTAGTTTGTGCTTCTTCCTCATTGGTCAGGTTTAGTATGTGCTTCTTCCTCATTGGTC